AAGAGTGTGTGTGTAAGATGAGTTAACACCGGGGTGTTTAGGTATAGTTACCCCAAGTTGAATGCGGGTATACAAGCGGGAATGAACGATTGAAGGGGTTGGTTAGGGGCAGCTTAGGGATAGGGCGGCATCGTGTAAAGAGTGAAGAGGGAGCAAATAAAGTACCGAACATTGGCCTGGGATGGTGCTTTGTATTGGATGATCCAAACAGTCGCAACAGATGACATTTTTTGTTTCTCCCTTATAGTCCTTTTTAAATTTATCTCCATTCCCATAATTCCCTCTCCGTTCGTTTCCTCCCGCCCCCCCCCCCGCTTCACACACCGTAACTCCATCTCCACCTACTCCCACCTCTTTTTCCATCTTTATTGAATCATCTCTTTCCTCCCCCATCCGCGACAGTCCCTTTATTTACCCCCTCCCCTCTCGAATCTCCTCTCTACATACACCCCCTCTTCCCCCTCTCCCTCTCGTACAACCCCACCCCCCTTCCCCCTCTCCCTCTCGTACAACCCCACCCCTTCCCCCTCTCCCTCTCGTACACCCCCTCTTCCCCCTCAACTCCCCCCCCCCCCAGACAAATGCAATTTTCCCCGCTGTCTCCCACTCTAAGACCACAAACATTCTGGGCCAAACTCGGACCTTACAAAATCACGTGACTAGTGCTGACCATCCATTAAAGGATCTACCCACGGGCTAATAGCCCACAGAACCTTCCAGTATTTTCACTGACGGTCCCCGACCCCCCTCGGCACGATACCTGCTCCCTCGGGTGACCCAACAGTGGGTAATCTAATTACTTCCGGTTTTAGCGGTAACCGAACCCCGTGGTCCCCGCGCATGCGCCACTTGACTGTATTACACGACACTTGTTTTCATCTCAGTCACATGTTAAACTTCAACCAATCGCGAGTTCACGATTTGTTGTTGTACTCTAGTATTGGATATCAGGTGTCTGAACCGTCAATCGATATCGACCTGTTGGTATTGATTGGAGTTTTGTTTCAGATAGCATCGCTTCGAATTTCTGTTTCGTATTTCAGCGACGCAGATTATTACAAACCTGTTTCACATGAATAATAAAAAGTTCGACAAAAATCAATTCAAGAAAGCTGGAAATAACAGTCAGTGTGTGATTGTGAGTGTATGTGTGTATGATAGTGTATGTGAGTATGAGTGTATATATTGTGTAAGTGTATGTGAGGTATGTGTGAGTGTATGTATATGTTAGTGTAGTTGTAATTGTATATATGAATGTATGTATGTGTGCGTGTATATGTGAATGTATGTATGTGTGAGTGTTTTCATGTTGACGTGTATGAAGGAGTGCTAATAATGAACTTGTGTGAAGGAAATAGACGAGCAATGATTTCTAAAGCGTTTTCTTGTTATAAGTAAAAAAATGTATATAAAATTGCCATGGAGCATTAAAAACATTAATGACATAGAATAGACAGGTTTTTGTTGTCGTTGTCGCATTAAGTTTTTCTTCAAAATCTTTAGTAGGTAATACGAAAATTTGAAAACCATTTCTTATTTAAATTAATCCTCTCCGCTAATGAATAGCTGTTTGAATTTGGGTAGTAGCGTGAACGATTGATAGATAATCCGTCAGATCAAGTTCCGTATCGAATGCGTGGGACTTCTCTGAGTCTTCCCAGGTCTAACGGGTACCTGACATGATTTAGAGAATTAGGGGCAACTGTGCATAGCACTGTCGGGTGGTATCCTTTCAAACAACGGGTTCACAAAAACAAGTGCACGCTATTTCGTCGTGTCCTTTTTATCATTACCGGAGGCGTGCAAAGCAGAAACTAGAAATAAAATGGATTTTCCCGATTTCGAAATGTATCTTTACAAAAGCTCACCTTGGACTAGCCCACGTTCCCATACACTAACCACACGCACAATCTTCACCCCGACTATACCCCACCCCCCTCAAACACCCCACCAAACACTCCAAAGTGTTGCCCCAAACGCCCCAGGAATCAACGACCTAGTTTAATTATGTCTACATATATTTCACGTGCCTCACTCGCTTCTACGTGGATCTTCAACTCGGTATTTCTCAATCTCACCACAGTAATTAGTCTAATCAGATAATTAATTAACCTTCATATACCCCGTGTGAGCATTTTATCCCATAAAGTCTTGCTACTTTGATCTTAAAACCTTTACTTTGTTAATGATTTGATATCAAGGTTATACATTGTTAATGATTTGATATCGAGATTACACTTTGATAATGATTTGATATCGAGATTATACTTTGTTAATGTTTCTATCTGAATATTATCTTTACTTTTAACTGCTAAGTAGAAAGGATTACTTTGTACTTTTATGTCTCCGTATAGCAGAACAGCCCTCTAAATGTCAAGGGTCGCAGGCTTATTGACTTTCTAGCGTCTCGAAACTTGGTTGATCGAAAGATGTGAATATCGAGTTGTCATTGACTTATTGTATTGACCTGTGTAAAAAGGAGTCATTTAATTGGTCATCTCTTTTTGGTAATTTCATCAGCATCTTTGTTGGCGGCTGACCTTCTTCTGTGACACGTTACTAAAAGATTATTCAAAGAACAAATTGTGGCACTCTGTTCTCAATGAAAATTTATGGGTGTACTATAGAGCCACTGTTAAATATACAAGACTGCATGCGCCTTGCACAAAAATATGCGGGGTAAGTGAACAGAAGGGAATTTTTGCTACAGACAGAAGCATTAATTAAACTATGGTGCCCAAAAACAGATAATTTTGAACTGTTATCTAGAAGCATGGGACAGTGTGGACTAAGCGGTAGAGTGCTAGGCGAAAGTCTCGAGTTCTGATGGGTACCTAACTCATGTTAGGGAAAGTATAGGCGGCTGGGCTAAGTGCAGCCTAGGTCAAGAAACATGGTGACCAGAAAGATAAAAGTAAAGTTCTCTTAAAAAAAAAGCCCCTAGGGTCGGCACTATGCCCAGCTGCCTTTACTTTCCCTAACGTTGGTTGATTTTGGGTTTTGTACTGTCTGTAAGTCTGTTCTGATGGTTCATGCTATCTTTGTCTCTGTCTGTGTGTCTGCCTAATGGTCTATGCTGGGTTTTTACTGTCTGTGTCTGACTGTCTGTCTGATCTTTAAAAGTCTGTTTATCTCTCGCCAGGTATGTCAGTGTGAGTAGAACTTGGAGAGGGCGGGGATGGGGGCAGGGATGGGGGCGGGGATGGGGATGGGGGCGGGGATGGTGGCGAGGATGGTGGCGAGGGTGAGTTGAGAATCAGGTCGACCGTGTTGATTCCCTACTGAAGCAGCCTTTGAGCCGGATAAAAAAATGCCGATAAGGAATAATTATCTCTTGAGTGAGTTTTTTGTTTACAACATTAGTGGGAGTGGGGGGGGGGTGGGGAGGGTTATAGTGGGGATAGAGTTGTGATGATTGGGGTTCTGATTGTAGTCGGCGCCCCCCCACGGCACGTGACGTCACTGTTGAGATTTAGGACTGTTTACGCTAAGGCGGAAATTTATTTTGGGTAGCAGTTTTTGTTGGTAGCAGTTTTTTTGTAGCAGTTTTTTCGTAGCAGTTTTTTGTAGCAGTTTTTTGTAGCAGTTTTTGTTGGTAGCAGTTTTTGTTCGGACAGATTTTTTTGTAGCAGTTTTTGTTTGTAGCAGTTTATTAGCAGCATTTTATCAGTTGTTTTTAAAGTAATGTTTCTTTTTCTATTTCTTACCAAAGAGGTTTATAGTAAAAACTTGGATATATAATACCATAACTTTTTTGGAGTACCGAACCCCACCAGTTTCATACGCATATTCATCGAACCCTTCTTTATTGTTGTATCTTTCCCACTGACAATCAGTACACATGATTCGGGTGTGTGTCTTGTCCTCCGCCTAACCCATGAGACTCACTCACCGAACTCCTGGGGTTCCATCGAACCCAGGCTAAGAACCCCTGTTTTAACACCCTGATGTTGATGTAAAAAAAAATTTGATCCAGTGAACGGAGTGTCGTTGTTTGCATGCCGCAACTTGTGTGCATACATTTTTACTTTCCACGTCCCATCCTGTGTCACCCCTCTCCCCCCCCCCCCCCCCCCCCCCCACCGCACCCCCTCGCACTGTTTACACTCATTACAAACAGCCCGCCATGAATAAAACGCGCAGACGTTTATGCACGTGCATCGAACGTGCCACGACGAATCCAAAGCTCGTGTCGCGACCTTTGACCTCCTATACTCGCCCTTATCCATCACCTCTCCCGATAAAATATCCACATGGATCAAGATACGCCTGGGTTTAAATTGAGAATTACATCGTAAAAAAAATCGGGAATTCCAACGCTAGTCGCTGTACTTACTGTACCAAAATACGTGGAATGACCAGCCCTCTTTTAGGTAGATCGACCCGACACCCACAAAACTACCCCTCCCCCTTCTCCCAAGTATAGAAAGTTCTAGAGGATTTCCCCAAAAAGATGGGTTTGTGGTTCACTAGTATGCCTCATTACATGTCGAACAGATTAAACTTTTTTTTTCCACTTAGCAGTCTAAAAACCAGACAAATTTCTAGAATATTTTTTGTGAGGTTTTAGAGAAAATCCTGACTTTTACCAGGTTTCATAATGTAGACATTTTAATATTGTAGTTATTATGAAACTTTAATGAGATCAAGAGTTATAGCGTCGGCACTTTAGATTTTATGTCGACAAGCACTTGTTAACGTATTAAGGCGAGAAGTAGATGGGGGAAGGTCATCCATAAAATGATGTTGTAAAGGGTTTTCCAATGTTTATATTCATGCGCTAAGTGGGAGGTTTTTAAAAAATATATTACTTAGCTAATGTTTTGACTTTAAGAACAAAAACTAAGAAAAATAAGTTTACTTAAGCGTAAACTATTGTTATTCAGAAAGATGTAAGTAGTGATGGATGTGTTTGTGAGTGTGGGGAGGGGGGGGGGGGCGGTGGCATATATATATACGTATAAATAGTGTATTGGGAGACAGTATGTCAGCGTTTAGGGGGCGCATGATGGTTTATTATATAAGCCTAGAAGGGGGGATATGGTGGAAAGAGACATGTAAGTAAAATGTAACACACGTGCCCTTTTCGAACCTGTCGGTCCATGGGGCAAGTGAAGTAGAGTTCACCTGTTTCTGTGATATCGACGTACGAAGGGATATTCTGGTCAGTACTGCCCATACCCCAGCCGGGGTGACGGGCAGTGATGATGATGATGGGGTTATACCAGTACAAGCCTATAACGGCAAATAGAGCGGCAAGGGGGCAGCTTTATAAGTGTTTGGCGGGATGGAGTTGGCAGACAGACATTTTCGGCAGTTTAGGGTTGGGTTGTTGTTGTCGGCAGCTTAGGGTTGGGTTGTTGTTTTGGGTAGTTTAGGATTGGGTTGTTGTTTTGGGTAGTTTAGGGTTGGGTTGTTGTTTTGGGTAGTTTAGGGTTGGGTTGTTGTTTTGGGTAGTTTAGGATTGGGTTGTTGTTTTGGGTAGTTTAGGGTTGGGTTGTTGTTTTGGGTAGTTTAGGGTTGGGTTGTTGTTTTGGGTAGTTTAGGGTTGGGTTGTTGTTTTGGGTAGTTTAGGGCTGGGTTGTTGTTTTGGGTAGTTTAGGGTTGGGTTGTTGTTTTGGGTAGTTTAGGGTTGGGTTGTTGTTTTCGGTAGTTTAGGGTTGGGTTGTTGTTTTGGGTAGTTTAGGGTTGGGTTGTTGTTTTGGGTAGTTTAGGGTTGGGTTGTTGTTTTCGGCAGTTTAGGGTTGGGTTGTTGTTTTGGGTAGTTTAGGGTTGGGTTGTTGTTTTGGGTAGTTTAGGGCTGGGTTGTTGTTTTCGGCAGTTTAGGGTTGGGTTGTTGTTTTCAGACTATACGCATTGCCTAGCTACGCCTGTGGTCATATGCCATTAACGCGTTAAAATGTTTACCACAGAAAAACAACGCGAGCCGTTAAAACTATCACGTGATATGTTTAAACCAATCAGCAATGTTGACCCTGCTGTACAGTTCTAACACTGTCAGCGTTTGAAGTTGTGTGATGTTAAACTATTGGCTGAAACCGTTTCAAGTGATCAAAACATGCAATCTGATTGGGCAATTTGCAAGGTCAGAAGGTCAACACTAAGAAAGGTCAGTCTGCCTGGTGGTCAAACCCATTATAAACACATGTCTATTTCTAGCCTAATTTCAAAGTCCTTGTAAAATTTATGCTTTAAATTTGAGTAGAAATTTTTCTTTAAACTTCAATAAGCAGCCGTACACATACGCCTATTAGACATTTTTTGTTCGGTCTGATTGGCTGATAGGTTGGCTGTTTTCAATATCGGGTGGGTGTGGGTTGTGGGTGGTGGTGGGTGGGGGTAGAGATATGTGGGTGGGTGCTGGTGGGTGGTGATGTGTTGTGTGGAGTTCAGTTTAAAAATTAGGGGAATTTTAACAAAAAAAATGAATAAAAGGAAGTTAGTTTTTTAAAAAACAATTCTATTTTTAGAACCTATCGACAAAATTAATGGAGCTGTTATAAACAATTTTCACGCTATGATGGGTAGAGTCGGTGGTAGTGTGTGTGTGTGGGGGGGGGGGGGGAGTGGAGGGGAGTGGAGATTAGCGGCCATGATGGATTGCAGCATGTTGGGAAATGTAGACATTTCTCTTTTATAGGAGGCAGATTTCTTAATCCCCCCCCCCCCGTAATTTATCGAGTTAGTTATTGTGGATAATGTGTGGGTCAGGGTTTAATTAAGATTCTGACCCCCCCCCCCCCCCCACACACACAAATACACATGTTTAATAAATAAAAAAAACTAGTTGATAACCCCACCATTAACATGTTAGTACAGTGGTTCTTAACTTGGGAGAGTTCGGTGCAGTGTTTCTTCCAGACATTTTTCTCCGGGGGGGGGGGCACTTAAAATTTTCGGTGGAGGGGGGGGGGGGCGGACTAAAATTTTCGGGGGGGGGGGGGCGAACACTGTTAAAAGTATATATTTTCTATATAAAATCCTATTTTGTTCGATGGCGGTAGATTTTTTCGGGGGTGGGGGGGGGGGGGGGGGGGGGGGGTGGCTAAGCGCCCCCCTCCCGAAAATATGCCTGGAATAAACTCTGGTTCGGTGATGGGTACGATCAAACCCAAGGGGTTCCAGGGGTTCGGCGAGTCAGTCTCAGGGGTTCGCCGGACGTCAAGGCACACACCTGACACATGTGTACTGATTGTCAGTGCGGACGATAGAACTATTAAGAAGGTTTCAGTCAATGTGCAATGTTACTCCATAAACTCTTTTAAAATTTTTTTTTTTCGTAAATTGCAATAATTCCTGAACCCAACAATACATCTTACACGGTTGAGTGGGTCTCATCACGTGACAACTCACACACTGAGCGTGATCACGTGACTGTATATCTATAACACTGTATCCACGAAAAAAAAAACCCACAGTTTTTAAAATGGTGTACATTTCGTTAGAAGAGTTAACACCCCTGGTGGCGAGACAGGCCTTAGTGAAACAGTTTTTATCTTATTTCATTCCGCCCGATTCAGAAACGCTAGTTACTTCCCTTTGATTTATGAAGAGGCGGGGGGAGGGGGGATCACGCGAGAAGTAAGCGCGCATCTTAACTGCGCATAAAAAAAAACTCGCAGTTTGATTTCTTTTAGAAGAATGTGAAATATGTTTTTGTTTTTCCCCCTTTTCCCCGCATTAGTGTGTGGTTTTGGTAGATACGGTGTGGTGTTTGTAAACAACGAAGGCTTTGATTGGGTGAGATAAATCAGGTTGATCGTACACAACCAGACGTTTGCTGGCGGTATTAGATCGGCTAGACTTAATGAACACTTCACCAGACACGTTGGGTGGAGATCATGCAGTCACAGGCGTAACAGGAGAAGTAGAGTAGATCTGGTATAAGGCGAGACGTAGGCACATTAGAACAAGTAGTGTAGATAATCCTCATCAACAACATCATCTTCAAAATCATCATCATCAACATTAACGATAACATCCACATCAACATCAACATCAACATCAACATCAACATCAACATCAACATCAACATCAACATCAACATCAACATCAACATCAACATCATCATCAACATCAACATCAACATCACATCACATCACATCACATAATCATCATCATCATCACTATCACCATCAGTATCATCATCATCATCTTCAACATCTTCAACATCATCATCATCATCAACAATATCATCAGTATAATCATCGTCATCATGCTTTTAGTAACATAATATACAGAGATTTGATATCTGTATTATTGACAAGTTCAAAGACTTTAATTAGGTGTCGCCTCACTCTAATTGTGTCACAAACACCAACACGCTTTGAATTTGTAACAATGGATACTGGAGTGATATGTCTGAATGGTGTCACTTTGTGAATAATAATTTATTTGATTGAAATCAGTTATTGATACAATGAGAAAAACACTTGTTTTCTCACTACATTTTTTTCTTGGTGTCACCCTTTGGTGGTGTCACCCTTTGGTGGTGTCACCCTTTGGTGTGTCACCCTTTAGTGGTGTCATACTTTCGTGTGTCACCCTTTACGGGTATCGCCCTTTGGTGTGTCACCATTTAGGTGTGTCACCCTTTGGTGTGTCACCCTTTAATGGTGTCACCCTTTGGTGTGTCACCCTTTAGGTGTGTCACCCTTTGGTGTGTCACCCTTTAGGTGTGTCACCCTTTAGGTGTGTCACCCTTAGGTGTGTCACCCTTTGGTGTGTCACCCTTTGTGTGTCACCCTTTAGTGGTGTCACCCTTTGCTGGTGTCACCTTATAATAGCGTCCCCCAGTACCTATAGTCATCTCCCCGTCCTACCTTTGAAACTCTACCGATTTATTCCATTAGAATACAAAAATAATTCGAAATATTTTTTTTCATTTATTTGATGAGATAATATCGCTGTCGTAAGAATATCTTTGATTGCTTTTTTAAAATGTCCTTGTTTATTTTTTAACATAATTAGCAAGAAAAAAATGACGAAAATTTCGAGAGTTAATTAGAAATAGAAATGGAATTACCGCACGCGAGATCGCTGCTTGGGTAGAACTTGCGATTTCCGGTTACCGGACCGGCGACACTCGCAGCTGGTGAGGGGAGGCGGGGGAAGCGAGGGGAGGCGAGAGAGACGAGGGCTGGGTGAGTTCCCCCGTCTCGTGCTAGCCCCGTCTCGCGCGGTGAGTAGAACAGCTCTCGCAGAGGCAAAACTTTTGGAATTAACTTTTTTACGCACGTCAAAAGATTAATTGGTTGGATTGATAATTTACCTACATACCGCCAAGGTAAATTTATTTTTTGAATATATTTTTAGTTTTAAGGTAGAGGGGACTTCGGATGTAGAAAAATTGGGATTGTTAAGACGAATATTAAATTACGTGGAAAGCAAGTCAGTTCTACAATTTTCTACTACTTTTTGCAATTGTTTCTTAACTAACCCTACTAGACCAGGGGTAGGAACCCTGGGGATGCGAGAGTGACCGTTTGTGACTGTTTGTGACTGTTTGTGACCGTTTGTGACCGTTTGTGACTGTTTGTTACCTATTTCAACGCGTTACAAAGAAAAATAGTATAGAAATTATGCGTGTGCTATCAGTTAAAGTAACTGCTAAAATCGCTCTCTTAAAGTTACAAATTATCACTGTACTCACCAAATGCTGTCAGTCTTTGATCCAAACGATGTCAGCGTGCTTTAAATATAAATATGTGATATGATGACACCTATTGACGGACAACTACATTGTTATAGGTCATTTGTAGATAAGGTTAGGATAGTCTTGAATGTGTGTGTGTGTGTGTGAGTTGAGTTAATCCCGGGGTGTTGATGTATAGTTACCCCAAGCTTGAGTGCGAGTATACAAGAAACAGTGAACGATTGTTGGGGGGGGGGGGGGGTAGAGACCAGCTACTAGGACATAACTGTGTAACGTGTGAAGACGGGAACAAATCAAGTACTCAACATTGTCTGGCATCGTGTGTCTGCAACATCACGTGGCAGGACCTAAACATCCGTTTGGTTGTCGGGTTAGTTAAGACAATGGTAGAGAGACATGAGACTGTCTTGTTTACAATCGATACTTTTATACTTCTAACTCGCTAATCGCCGAGATGTTAAATGTGTTGTGAATACTCTAGTACCTTGATTTTAATCGATATGTTTTACGCGAATTAATCGCTTACCTTTTCCTCATGCCTTTTCTTACATTTTCTTTACGCTTCACTTTACGTTCCACTTTTTCCTCATGCATCGCTTGTGCGTCCAACGTTTTCCTTATGCCTCGCTGTACGTTTTAAATTTTCCTCAGTCCTCGCTAAACGTCCATTTTGTTTTAGACTTCTACCTCATTTTAATTTATTACTCGATATACGTCTGAACGATTCCACTCTTACTTCGTTATACGCGTAGAAACTTGTACCGAATCACTGGCATGTTTGTTACATTAAGTTCAGCCGTCTGTGGAGTTTGATACATGGTGATGTTAGTAAACCAAACTAGACTAATCAAATGCGGGTTTGACGACAACTCATCTGTTCCCGTCTGTGTCCAGGACACATGCCGACACACATATGAGCCGAGGACACATGACGACACACATATGAGTTATATAACCTTCATCCAGCTAAGAGTTGAATTTATGATACCATAGACCAGCTGTTGGTATATTGCAAACGTTGTGTGACATATGTACATATACGACATGAAGGGGATGTGGCGGGTGGCTAACGGTTGTAGGTCTAATGAATGTGACAAACTCAATGGCCGGTTAAAAAAGGGATCTTAACCTTTAAAAAGTAGATTATCTTTAACCTGTACAACAGTCAGACTTAGTGGAACTCACATACAACGTCTGTATATACACGCACGGAAGAAACAAAACATTATCGTTATCTAAGCATAAACATTATTTATCTAATTGTATATGTTTTACTAGATAAAGTATTACAAACATCAGCTCAAAAAACTGAGCAGAGAGCTTTATATTTTGTTAGCGGTAAAACGGCGTTAAAAATTTCCAGTTTATTTATATTGTGTTCTCGCCAATCACGTTTATGATTAAAGATTGTCGGCTACCTTTAAAAGATTACAAAAGATTACAAAGTAACAGGTCATTATCGAACTAGCCGCTTTACTAGCGCGCGTCCTGCAAGTAGAAGTGACCACTACCAGGCGCTCAGATATACGGTTAAAATCTCAGCACCGTACTCCACCATCGTGCTCCACCACGTGCTCCACCACCGTGCTGCACCACCGTGCTCCACCACCGTAATCCACCACAGCACCGTATTCCACCACCATACTCCACCACCGTAATCCACCACATCACCGTACTCCACCACACCACCGTACTCCACCACACCACCCTACTCCACCACCGTACTCCACCACCGTACTCCACCACATCACCGTACTCCACCACCGTACTCCACCATACCACCGTACTCCACCATCGTACTCCACCACCGTACTCCATCACACCACCGTATTCCACCACCGTACTCCACCACACCACCCTACTCCACCACCGTACTCCACCACACTACCGTACTCCACCACCGTATTCCACCACCGTACTCCACCACCGTACTCCACCACATCACCGTACTCCACCACCGTACTCCACCATACCACCGCACTCCACCACCGTACTCCACCACATCACCGTACTCTACCACCGTACTCCACCACCGTACTCCACCATACCACCGTACTCCACCACCGTACTCCACCACCGTACTCCACCACCGTACTCCACCACCGTACTCCACCATACCACCGTACTCCACCACCGTACTCCACCACCCTACTCCACCACCGTACTCCACCACATCACCGTACTCCACCACCGTACTCCACCACCGTACTCCACCACCCTACTCCACCACCCTACTCCACCACCCTACTCCACCACCGTACTCCACCACCCTACTCCACCACCGTACTCCACCACCCTACTCCACCACCGTACTCCACCACCCTACTCCACCACCGTACTCCACCACCCTACTCCACCACCCTACTCCACCACCGTACTCCACCACCCTACTCCACCACCCTACTCCACCACCCTACTCCACCACCGTACTCCACCACCCTACTCCACCACCGTACTCCACCACCCTACTCCACCACCCTACTCCACCACCGTACTCCACCACCCTACTCCACCACCCTACTCCACCACCGTACTCCACCACCCTACTCCACCACCGTACTCCACCACCCTACTCCACCACCGTACTCCACCACCCTACTCCACCACACCACCATACTCCACCACCCTACTCCACCACACCACCGTACTCCACCACCATACTCCACCACCCTACTCCACCACCGTACTCCACCACCCTACTCCACCACACCACCATACTCCACCACCCTACTCCACCACACCACCGTACTCCACCACCATACTCCACCACCCTACTCCACCACCGTACTCCACCACCCTACTCCACCACACCACCATACTCCACCACCCTACTCCACCACACCACCGTACTCCACCACCATACTCCACCACCCTACTCCACCACACCACCATACTCCACCACCCTACTCCACCACCGTACTCCACCACCCTACTCCACCACACCACCATACTCCACCACCCTACTCCACCACACCACCGTACTCCACCACCATACTCCACCACCCTACTCCACCACACCACCGTACTCCACCACCGTACTCCACCACCCTACTCCACCACACCACCATACTCCACCACCCTACTCCACCACACCACCGTACTCCACCACCATACTCCACCACCCTACTCCACCACACCACCATACTCCACCACAGACTCGCATGTTGCACACGGCACAAAATAAAAAATATATCCCAGCTCAAGGTTCCCCTAGGTCACATGACTGGTATCCCAAGATGGCCGACTGGTATCAATGTTTCACGCCCCTAATGAAGTCACGCACATTGGGAGTGCACCTAACGAGGTGCCGCTATGTGAGTTTTTTTCTTGCGCACTGGTAATTAACCTCAATTTCGGACATTCGATTTCTTTCAAACAT